TTTTGGCCTTGTTGTTGGGAAATCAACTAGGCCTTCTAGGCTTGGTTCCTCCGCCCCGCCCCCAAATCACCTAGTCCCAGTCTTTTGATGTGAAAAACCGCTGAATACTAAAAAATACAAATAAGACTAGAAGGCCTAGGTCTAGGCTGGGCGTGAGCGAGTTAAAATTTTCGTGGACGTAAAACAATAAGGGAACCAACTCGAGTTACACTTCTGCTATAACTTCTTATTCTTGTGCCATAAAGCTGGAGTTGCACGAGCAACAAAATCTAATTTCTACGCATGTTAATTGAAAATGTTTACGCATAAATTACAAATCACAAGGCAACATGTGACGACATTTCTACTTAACATGCGTTGAAATCAGATTTTGTTGCAAGTTGCAGCAATTTTGTTGTTTATGGATTTTGGTATTTACGAGGGTGCTCATGAGCATACTGGATTTTGTGCATATATGAGCGTGCTTATGAACATACCGTATTTTGGTATCTCATGAGCACGCTCATATATATACCAAGATCCAGTAATTTGCGCATGAGTGTACTGGATTTTGGTATATATATGAGGGTGCTCATGTGGATTTTGGTATGAACGTGCTTATGGTTATGTACATATATGAACGTGCTCGTATAAAAAGTGTGGCATATGAATATGCACGAGTAGTCATATTTTGAATAGGGACGACGGTGCCTATTTGCCAAAGGAATACACGCATATTATATAAACGCGTTTTAACGTTGGGTCGTTATTACAATTCGACTGGGCTTTGTAGTTTGTATTGACTGCGAGCGAAAACATGGTTAATAAAGTCAGCAATAAAGTTAACCGTTTAAATGAAGTTAGTATCATTTGAATAAAAGTTAACCGTTGTTTCACTGTAGTTATTTTATAAAACAATTATGGCCCAATCAGTCAAATGGTTTTCAGTGCAGGATCGGCGTTTATCCCTGCACTTGGTATGTTGCTCGTGTATTTTTACGCTTTCTGAAAGCTCGCAACATCCCAAGTGCATGAATGGATGCCGCTATCCTGAACGGAAAACCATTTGGCGTTCCTTTATTCTTGCGCAACAGAAATCACATAAAAAAGCATGTTTTTGAGAGCATTATATATCTAGATGGGAACAACCCAGAACCCTCACCGGAAAAACTCGTAGTACGGGGCTTGGGAACAATTATGACGTAACATTTATGACAACAACAAAACGTAACAGTCGGATTGAGGTGAAAATCGTCCTTTTTATACATGTAAAAACCGTTTAAAAACTTTTTTTACTTGTTATTTTGTGTCATTGTTTAACTAAACGATGTTCCGTGGTTTTGGCGCTTTTGATGACGACCCTTTCTTCAGGTAAATATGTTTCAGTGATGTGCTTTAGATGGCATTGTATCTAGTCAGTGAAATTGAAAGTATTATAGAATTTTGAACTCGTATTCGCCATAGTTTGTATTAAAAAGTGGCTTTTTACTAGCGAACTATCTGCTGGAAAGTTGGGCAATGAGAAATATTTTGTGAATTTAATTGCAGCTTTGATATTTTGCATGTATTTTGTTTCTTAAATTGAATTTCCCGATCAATTACATATCAAAGTACCTAGTTATATTGCGGTTGCTCGAGTTCTAATGCATTATTAGCTGTTTTCCAATTTTCTTGTCTTGCATTTTAATCCATATGAAATCCATAAAATTGTCACAAGATTTTAATAATTGCAAGATTTTAAATTGATCGCCAACCCCTATTTATATATTAGGGATTTATATAGAATTATGCCTTGTATATTTCTAACTTTCCAGAACTCTCATTTGCTTCAATGGCTTCTGTGAGCATGATGGGCCAGAAATGTTGACACTTTTACAAGCAAGGAATATAAATTTCTCAATTCTATTTATTTTCTGCGAAATACAAGACTATTCTCCGATCGGAGTTTAATGTCATCAATTTTTCATCTCGGTAATCAATATGCCAAAAAATCACAATGTTTGGAAATATTCAGGATGCGAGTAACAGCATTTTGGGAATTCTATTTTTCCTACTCATTTGACTGAAATTTGCAGCAGAAAATGTAATCCAGTCAATGTTTAGAAAAGTGAAATTTCCAAAATGCCATAAATCGCACCCTGAATGTTTGTTAATCAAACATCGTGAAATTTTCGTGATAGACTAATTTGGGCATGGAAATTTCAATTCTGGGATTCATTTCTGGAAAATATGAAGATGAGAATTGATAACATTAACTCGGTTTGCACAATGATACCACATAAAATGAACTGGTTGAATACCAAGTCGCATTGTGCCTGGCTAACATGCCCCACTTTATTATTTTAGTCTGTTTACTGACCAGACAATTTCACTCGTCAATGGGAGAGCACTTACACTAAAAGGGATATCATAATAAAACCCACCTATTTTCATCAATGTCCATGCAATTTAGTTAACTTTGAAAAGGCATGTATTTTGATCAGATTCAAAGAGAGTTTGTGACTTATGTAGTTATGGTCACCTGTGGAATTGCATTAGAATTTAGAGAATGTTGAGCTTGCCATCATCACTATCATTGTCAACATCAAACATGGAAGTCTACTGTAGATATTATTCTACGATAAGCTCCTGTTGATTGTGTCTGAAGTACTACGTGTCACAGAAGATTAAACGCAACCCAATTTTTACAGTTTTTAAATTAATCTCTTTCAGGCAGTTTAGAGACATACAAACCACACAATTATAGTTATAGCTCAATTAATATTATAATATCAAGTTCAATATTTTAATAAATGTAATTTCCTTGTGAATATAATATATACAGTAACATAAATGCATGTGTTTACCTACTAGTATAATCATAAAATCTTGTGTTCCAAGTGATAATAATTTGACATGAGACAGTAAGACAAGATAAGAGGGACCGATTTTGTTATCTACCATCGAGAAGTGAAATAATCTGGCTTTAGACAGAGTAAGACGGTAAAAGGAGATGTTTTAAAAATATATTCGGTTGGAATCTGCTGTGTTGGTGTAATGTACTCAGGTGAATAAGATGTTTGTGTGGTGTTACTCTGAGTGTATATCCACACCGGGCAGGCTTGAAAAATATGCCTGGCCACGGCGGGATTTGAACCTACGACCTTTGGAATACTAGCCCAATGCTCTTCCAACTGAGCTACGCGGTCAGGACGGTTCGAGTATTTCATGATTATTAGTAAGATTACACTGATATCGAAGGAACTAGACTCAGTTCCGAAATATCGCATACTCAAACCGTCCTGACCGCGTAGCTCAGTTGGAAGAGCATTGGGCTAGTATTCCAAAGGTTGTAGGTTCGAATCCTGCCGTGGCCAGGCATATTTTTCAAGCCTGCCCGGTGTGGATATACACTCAGAGTAACATCACACAAACATATTCGGTTGGGTCGATGAAGTATATGACTGTAATAAAACCAGCCCTTGAAAAAAGTCAAAATTGAGGTGGCAAGCCAATGCTGACCTTAATCTGCCCCAAAGTCAGTTCTGTTCATGGAAAATTTTCTTGAGTGGGAATGAGCCTAATGAGGATGGTTCTGAAACAGACTTGAAACACCAGTGTACTAAAGAATTGAATGGCTATTTTCATTACTAGCGCTCATCAAGAGCACATGCGTGAGATGGACAGGATGATGGGTGGATTTGGACCTTTTGGAGGTTTTGGCTTTGGTTCTCCATTTGGCAGCCCATTTGGAATGTTGGAAGGACCTCGCGATCGAGGTGAGAGAAACGACCATCGAGAAAGAGGAATCGTACCAAGGGACAGACCTAGGGACCCCTTTCAATCAATGTTTGGCAATATGAATTCAATGATGTCACAAATGCACAGGAACTTTGTAAGTTTAATTTAAGAGCTATTTGCATTTTTGTATGAATTATATTGTCTGAATCTTTATATTTGTCCTCAGAGCTCATCTTGGGGGCTCTTGTAAATACACACTTCCGTAAAGTATTCTTGAATTGTTGCACAATGGCCATTCTGCATGTATGATTCAACAACCATTACAAACACAAGGTCACACAAGTCAGCAAATATCCTGCTATTCTCCTTACCTTTAACCCATTGAGTTGCATCGTGTTCTACTTTATTATTTCACTCTGTCTAACGCCAGATTATTTTACTCGGTCTATAGCCAGTTTTCCACTTTGCCCGAATCTTACCGAAATGTACTGGTGAGTATGTGCAGATTGAAAAGAGGTTTATAAATCCACATGCTTCCAGGTGTATTCGTGTATCAAAATGAAAAGTTCATCGCAAGTCAACTTTTTGGCGTACTACGGAAGTACTAACCAATCTATGTTCACAAAATTTTGAAATTTAAAAATGTTTTTGATATGTTTCAGTACGGTACACTTGAAGTGGAAAACTGGCTTAACGCCAGATGATTTTACTCGTCAAGGGAAGAGCGCTGGCGCTTGCGGCCTACTTTATTATTTTACTGTGTCCAACGCCAGACGATTTTACTCATGATCAAGGGGAGAGCGCTGGTGCTTAATGGGTTAATCTATCATTTTATTCAGGGAAACATGCCATCCAATCCAGATGGTTTTGCGTATTCTTCAAGTCAAGTGATGTCGTACAGCAATGATGGCAGAAATCCTCCCAAATATTTCGAGGCATCAAGTTCAACCAAGCGAGGTCCAGACGGAGTCAGGGAAACACAAAAATCTCTACGAGATTCTGAATCTGGGCTTCATAGGATGGCTGTTGGACATCATATTGGTCAGTGACAGTGTTTTTGCCTTGTGGGATAAAAACGTCAGATCATCACCAGCATGTTTTATGCCATTAAGTTGCATTATTTTATAGTAATATACTAAATATAGTAATAGTGATAATACCAGCCGTCAATTTCAAAAAATATAAAACGAAAAACAATCAAATATTAGCATCTTGAGAGTGATTTGTGATTTTTTCGATTTTACGATGGTTTTGGAATAAAATTAAAATTATATCACACGTTCATTCTCATCTGTTACAAATGCACAGAAACTTCTTAATTATATAGTTTGAATATACATACTAATATGTAAACTAAGATTTATCAATTGAAATTCCTTTCAAATTCGTAATATAATATTATCGAGGTATATTGACCACCGAATAAATTTTTATATTATTTTGAATTGATATTCAAATTTCATATCCAAGTGCAACGTACACAATGTAAAAGTCTCTCATCTTGTAACAAGTTTGTCAACAAGATGTGTTTGCAGAATGCAGTCTGCTTGTCCCAAGTTGTCAACAAGTTTGGAACAAGCTGTTAACAACTTGTAACAACCTTGTTGATGTTATCGTATTGTTGCAAGATTGTTCCAACAAGTCTGATACAGTCATGATATAACAATATTGTCACAACATTGTGTCATCAACCTTGTAACATTCTTAATTGTTATATCATGACTGTATCAGACTTGTTAGAACAACCTTGTAACAAGTCTGATAATGGCTGCAAGCTTGTTACAAGTTGTTAACAGCTTGTTCCAAACTTGTTACAACAACTAGGAACTAGCAGTGCGAACACAACTTGTTGACAGCTTGTGAACAGATTTGTAACAACTTGTTTGCAGACCTGTAACAACTTGTGCACTTTTACGTGTGACTTTTGAGCTCTAGAAACAATTAATGTCCAGTCATGTCTATCACGTGGGTTGGTCTGACATATTGTCAGGCCAAATTTTCATAATTAGGTTGAACTCTGTTTGCCTTGCGTTTATACTAATTACAGTAGATGTTTCCATTCAATGTAGGTGATCGAGGTCATGTAATTGAAAAATCAAAAAATACAAAAACTGAGACGGAAGAACAGAAACAAGATTTCTACGGCATCGATGAAGGTATAACTACGTACATCTGTGACTGTGGCACTGCTGAAATTATTTATTCAACAACTGAGTTTCACCAAACGTGCATAACAAACTATAACTATTAAACAATACTAGAAATAGCAGGATGTTACTTAAGTAGCTATTTGCAAGAACAAGTACGTTACAAGATGAATATCACAAGACAGTGTGTTTTAGCTCATGAAATGCAGTATATTTGAGCAAATTAAACTACATCTTGAAATTCTCTACTAAGGAGCCAATGTAAGATGTATGGGTAAAGATATTCGGCATTTTACTCGAGTAAGAGTACACTACCGTACTATATAGAGTTAGCAGTATTGTCTCACTCTTATAATTCCATCTTACCATCATCAGCTGCAGGACAGTGACAGACCCATTTATAACTGAGATGTTATTTTTCTTTACAGAGGATGCTCCCGCATTCAACAGAGAATTCAAAGAAAAGACAAGAAATTTCGATCGACACAACGAAATAGCAGGTAACTTGTGTCGTGTTAAATCTGTCAGTGTCAATTCCATCTGAACTGTTCTCCCACAAGAGTTCCAGTAAGAGCCATCCCTTTTTTATAGTATATACACTCAACCAGCGACCATTACAAATCCAGCACTCTGCTACTCAACCACTTTAAGGCTCACGAGCTGTGTATTTAAAAAAAATTTTCGCCGGTTGTTTTGCAAAAGGTAAACAAAAAAACCCAGGCGAAGCATGCGACGATTAAAAATAAATTGAAATCTTTCAAATTGTGCTTTGAGTTTGTATTTTGACAAGAAAGACGAAATCTATCATTTTAATATAGCTCAGAAGAGCATCCTAAAATTAGTAAAATAATTGCAAAGTTTGGTTGCGAAATGATGTAAAATACGAAATATGTAGCCCTGTGAAATTAGCAAATTTTGAGTATTTTAGTATTACGTGCGGAAAAATGAACCGCCTTCGGCTCAAAAGTGGTGCATTTTCCCCCGCGTAATACTAAAATACTCAAAATTTGCTACAGGGCTGTATATTTCTAACCTCCTCCGCAGGCAACTCTTTGGCAAAAATTGGCAAAAGTATTACTGATAAAAAATTGGCAAAAATGTGAATATTAGTGATTCCTAACAATCCCTAACTTTAAATTCGCTGTTATTCATAATACTTTTGCCAATTTTTGCCAAAGAGTTGCCTGCGTAGGAGGCTAGTATATTTCATATTTCACCGTATTTTACAACATTTTGCAACCAAATTTGGCAATTTTACTAATTTAAGGATGTTCTTTTAAGCTATAATGATAGATTTCGTCCTTATCTGGATCACTAAGGCCAAAAAAAAATATGTGGGTTTCCGGTTTCCCGACCCTACCTAGCTTTTGGACGTCGAAATCCCGACCCTAAACTTTTTTATTGGATCATGCTTGTAAGTGTTTCCACTTAGA